AGATTAATAACACTATTCCACCAATCATCCAACTAACTAAACATACAGAAAACACAGCAATAGTAAACGCATTCAGATCATGGAAGGATGGATCAAAAGTAGCGCACGTTCATTTCTATAGAAGTTGCTTGCCTGGCGCACACACCGAAAAAGTTTCTGGCTTCCGGGTTACTTCAGTGTTATGTGGCCCACTGAATATGCGCAGTAGTGTCACTCCCATCGTGCCTCTGGGCTATGAGAATGAGCAAACAGCATTCTGGATTTGGCAATGCGCATTCATAAATGCTATGCTAGCAAACATCATGGAGGAGTAATAAGACTTCTACAGGACTTGCTTGGGGCTTGAAATCATCAATTTATACAAATGACAACAGCAACAAACAATGAAAATAATGTTCTGAAAAGTAAGGTAGTGTTAAACCTATGATCGTTGATATCACGGAAGATTCGTGTTGACAGTTAATTGTGATGTTAAAGGGAAAACGTGTCATTCAGTTAAAGAGAGAGCTCAATCGCTAAATCACTCTGGATTCCACACAATAAGCAGAGTAACACATGGAATGACTCAAACAGCAAAATATCCACTGATCTATACAAATATCTACTGATCTAGATTAATGATCATTTAATTGTAAACTCTTTTTTCCCTGTCAGGATCCTGTAGGAATCGTGACTCAGTTTTTCAGTGATCTGATTGGTCAGTAGTTTGGCTGTTGACAGGTTTTGATCTGATCTGGAGCAGGTGAGGAGTTCAGTATCAGTTACCATGGTGTTTTACACCGGTAACAAGTGAACCACCGTCATAGGACTGAAAAAAAAAACAGTTTTAGTCTCTAGAGCTAATTTCCTCCTTCATGACAGCTGTTTATATAACTCACCTGTTTACATTTTTATGTAAGTTAAAGTTATGTATAATTATAAGTTATGTTTAGGTATGTATAATTGAGGGCGTGGCCTCTTCGAGTGACAGCTGGGTGAGCATGTGTTTTCCATAAACCATAATGCACCGAAGTGTCGGCTCCACACACGCCCCACCTCTTTCATTTCATTTTTGTATTAGCTGGGAGTTAGGGGCAAAGTCAAACACTGCCAAGATGGCGACGGTGGCGCAGTTCACTTTGAGCTTCAAAACCGCTCTTCAGAAATCTGTGGGTAACGTCACAGAGGCTATGTCCATCTTTTTTTACAGTCTGTGGTACAGACATCTGGTGAGACACATCAGGGCGGAGCAGACAATCTCAGAAGCGGGAAAAAACCAGGACAGGAAGAAAAGCAACCAATGGACACATAAGGAAGTAACTACAGAATAAAATAGAAAATTAGTCCAAAGAGTCACTTAAGGGGCACATAAATATCAGCAATGGGTACGAGTTGGTGTTACGTGCACCATGGCATCTGTGACCAGGAAAATTGATGTCTGGAAATACTTTGATAAAAAAGATGACAATAACATGCAGTGCACAATATGTGGGATGATATGTCATATCATATTAATTCTGTCAGTAACTTAATGAGCTAAATGTGCTAAATTAATTTTGTCTGTACTCAGTTTGAGTGCTCTCTGCAGACTGCTGTTAGCACTTACCAAAGACACTTTGTCAGGGAAGAACCTCCTTTGATTCATATCATATCAATAATTTAGGCTCATGAACTTTTTTTTTTTTAACCTTCATCCATATTTGCGTTTGTGCATTGGCAACCTGCTGGTGATGCTCAGTACTGCAACAGCATCCATCAGAATGAAGTTTGTCACACACATTATAGATATGAAGAGAAAATGTCAATTTCAGTCTTATAGCCCATGTTATGACTATCTGACTGTATTTGCAAAATTAAAATAAAAAGACAAATGAACCCAATGCTTCTATCTTTTCCTGTGATGAAAACCTCACCAACTCAACTCTGATCGATGAGCAGTGAGAAAAACATGCAATTTAAAACTCCAAGGTTTTATCTTTACAGTGATTCATTTACACTGTTGGGGATTATAAACACTTTAAAATTTAAAACATGAGCATAAAAATACAGATTGAAATACATGAAGTAATCCTTATCCAACATCTGTGTCAGTACAGCTGTTTGAAAAAATTCTTTAAAGATCGAGAAAAAAATACAAGTCATTCTAGTAAATGGTTATGGACTCTGTTGTTCAGGTAATTCATGAACCATTGTTACAGGCACAGATTCTTCTTTGGTCCCATATTAACAGCTTTACAACAAAGGAATATCCTGAGCCACCTACAGCTGCGATCCACCAACAAAGTACTGCCTTGTTTCAAGGCTCTCCATGAAAAAGTCTGGAATTACTGGACAGAGGAACGTCATTCTTTAGACACCAGTCAGGATTAAGTCTAGCTGTGATGCTTCACCTGGTTACAAACATGGTGGGGAAGAGGATAGTATACCTGTGATTCAGTCATTCACATCATAGACTATCACAGAAGATGTAAACTTGCTTACCTTAATAGTTGTACTTGTAGGAATACCCATGAATAAAACAGAAATACACAGACAAGAGACAAGACTTCCGATTATAAAATATAAAATAAAATAGATACAAAAAATCTACAATTCAGCTGAAATGACTGGAGGCCCTGAAACAAGGACTAAAAGACTAAATGGAAATGTGAGACCCACATTGTTGATTTCTGCAGCAGACATATGACCTGTGGTCCAGAGGGGCACAGCTGGAACAACAAACCAGGGTAAATCAGATAAACAGTTCAACTGTTCACACAGCAGGACATCAAGAACAAGGAGGACCAGAACCAGTCCATCTGCCGTAGCACTCATTACACACCTCAGCTCATCTTGTCCCATGGTTCAGATTCAAATTATCTACTGAGAACACTGAGACCCTGTTCAGGGATATGAGGACAATACTGTGTGTTAAAACAAGACAAAAATCAGAGAAGTCATATTTAAAAAACATTTGCATTAAATATCTGAAAAACTGAACAAGTGCAGACTCTATCAAAGCCTCTTGTTTAGGGTAGTACTGCACTAGGACAATGCTGCATGATCACAGGTAAGAGTGACAATTTCACTGTCAGCACTTCTCAGCAGGACACTCCCAGTGTGAGAGAAGAAGGCTGATCCTAACATGTTTCATGGTATTAGGTATTGAAGACTCAGGCCACCAGCTGGCTGGATGAATAACACACATCTACCTGCAGAATGTGACACTCCATGCTTTAAGGACCTTAACATGCAACCAGTGTCCCACCGCCGCCAAATTCAGGCATCTTAATGAGGACGTTGGTCCTGTGTGTACTGAGCTGTTGACTTAATCGATGGGACATTCATAAAGCAGGAGATGCTGAGACAAAACATTGTCTCAACATTTATCAGAGCAGGACTGGATTGGTGGCCACCACAAGGTATGCATGCAGAGCTGCACCCCCACAGCAGAGCCCATCTATCTGTATCACACACACACACACACACACACACACACACACACACACACATTGTAGTCACGCTGTTTATGTCTCAGGAGGTGATAGGATTACTCAGGTACTTCACTTAAATTAAAGTACTAATACAACAGTGTTACCATGACAACAATGGACTTGTACTAGCAGGACTGTACAGACTTTTACAAAGTTAAAGTCCTGAATTCCCACTTCCTACTTCAGTAAAAGTGCATAAGTATTATCAGCAAAATCTATTCGAAGTATTGAAAGTAAAAGTATTTGATGTGTAGTAAATTTTGACTGATGTATGATCTAATTAATACTGATGCATCAATGTGTAAATAACTCTTTAGGTACAGCTTATTCCAGTGGTCCCAATCTGAAAGGGGTCCCACCAAAAGGTCACTGTTATTCGGAGTTATTAACAATGTGTTTTAGATGTTAATCATATTTTACCACTGAAATGTAATTTGATAGAAGTATAAAGTAGCATGAAGTGGAAATGCTCAGGTGAAATACAAGTACTCCAAAACTGTATGACAATTGAAATACTGAAGTAATACTTCATTACATTTCCACTCTGTCAGTAGTTCAAACACAAAGTGGATTCCGGCTGACTAGAGAAGTCTGGTGTCAAATCACTGAATTTATGTGTTTGTGGAACGATGTGTTTTGCTTCTGTCTCTGAACTAAAGACTACATCCAGCTGTACAGAACATCTGGTCTTACTGACAGCCATAAAATCCCACACCAACTTAGAAAACATAATAATTTATTGAAATTACTGACCAACATTTATACTGGAATACCAAGACATTTAGAAACATGTTTGCAACACTGGATGAACAGTTAACTGGAGCCTACATCGTATAAGAGTTTGATTTCCATTTCTTTTTAAATAGATATATACACAACTGCATATATATGTGTAAATTATATATATACACACACACAGTGGGGTCCAACAGGCTGAGAGTAGTGAATGTGCAGGTAGTCTCAGACCTGTGGAGTGTCTACTGTGTCTTTGTGAGACAGCATCATGTCACACAGCTACCTCCTCTCTATACAGGAGTGGTCATCAAGGCCTTTTCAGTTCAGTTCAGTACAGTGAATGACCTCAACTCCACAGAACACACTAAGACAACAACATCCGCACTGCAAACACAGACTGAATCCGTCCTGTGGAGGTTCAGTTCATCTGGAACAGAGTCCAAAACACTGCTGGTAAACAACTCTGAGCTTGTTACAGTTCTGAATGATGAGCTGAATCTGTTCTCATAATAATTTCACTTATTTCCAAAGCACCACACCAGAGATATCAGCTGTTTTCAGTGGAGCAGGTGAAGCTGTGGAAGAAATGAGTGTAAGCTAATTATGTCATCCTTGTGGACAAAACAGAAAACAGTCATCCACATGTTTTAGGTTAAGACTGATTATGATACTGATGGTTTCACTGCAGCAGCTTCCGCGTGTCTGATGAACCTAATTCAATTAACGTGGCATTTCTCTCTGATGAACCTAATTCAATTAACGTGGCATTTCTCTCGTGGCAGTTCAGGGATGGACTGGTGCCATTATTCCACATTAGTCCGGATACAAAAGGAAACCGGAAAACGTGCTGTATTTGTTGTTGTTCCCCCCGTGTGCCTTGCCGCCGTCCAGTTTCACATAAATCTCGTCCCCGGAGTCCAGATGCAGGACAACGCTGTTGCTGGCGTAGTCGTAGTTCTGGTCTGCGTCCTGCGCTATGGCGCTGGCGCGTACCTGCAAATTAAGACAGAGAGATATCACGACTCAAAGCGCGAGGATTCGGTGTGGTCTAGGCTACTGGGATGAAACGGGATCAAATAAAGACTTTACCCAACATCCACACCACAACCACGGATCTTAGATTGTTCTCCTGGTTCTGTAGCCAGTGAGGAGCTGGTTGACACACGAGCCAACAATCTTAATTAATGTAGCCTACTGCATAAACAGGTTATCATGCCCCAGGTTTAAAGGTAGACAGAGGGAATATTTACCTGTCCGTTTTTGCATAAGTCTGCCCACATGCTGGTTCCGTCTCCTCCGCGCATCAGCACATGGTAGGTGAAGTAGTAAATCCCGGACACTTGGCACGTGAACTTGCCAGTTGTTGGGTCGTAGTGGTTCCCGAGGTTCGTTACAACGTCGTCGAACCTCAACACTTCGTATCCCTCGTGGGGGTTTTTCAGACCCACATAAAACGCTATCTTTGCCCCGCCGATGGCGGAGCCCGGCTCTCCACCGGTCTCGGTCCGCGCAGTGCCCACTACGCCGGAATAACCCATCTTTCCAGAATCACCTCTATCCCCCGGTGGTCCTCTCGGACCGGGTGGGCCCGGTTCGCCTGGCGGCCCCCTTGGCCCGGGTTTCCCCGGCCGACCCGGATCGCCCTTAGTCCCTTGAACAAAGGTTGGAGAAGGGATGGCGCTCAGGTCCTGCATGACCTCAAGAGCCGTGGCACTCGGTTTGGGGTTGTAGGGGTCACAGATCATCCGACAAGTCCCCATCATTTCATAGTGCGCATCGGTCTTGGAAGTCTGGACCAGCAGTGGAATCGCGATGATGAGAGCCAAAACCATGACGATGCCAACCACCGCGGCGACGACTCTCTTCCTCTGGAGAGTCCGAGAAGCAAGCGCTAAAAAGTCCGTTTTGCTTTGGGACGTAATGGTGGAAGGTGGTGAGAGCGCCAAAAGCCACGACAGAAAGAGAGTGGACCAACACGGAGTCACTCAGGCCCAAGATGAAGAGTAGAGGCAGAGGAGAGAGAAAGGCGCGTTATAACCCTACAGCCCGGTGCAGCCCGCAGCGTTTAACGCGGTGCCACTGTCACTCGGCTTCACACAGCTGACAGGGGAAATATTAGTTTTGGCATGGCTGGACGCGAAGGCTCTCCGAGCAGAGAGGGGCTCCCAGCAGTTTTGTTCGTCTTCAACAAGAGAGAAGGGAGCAGAGAGCCGTGACGTAAAAAGTGTAGGGGCAAAGCCCGTTGCAATTTGGATTAAAAAACTGCAACAATAATCATGTCATCTTTATGTATGAATCATAAATCCCTCTCAGAGCTTCAGGGGAAGGGATCAGGACGCATTAGCGACACTTGAATTTCTAGCTGTCAGACGTTTCCTCTTTTATCTCCCTCATTTATAGACAAATCATCTGAGCGCACAGGAGGCTGAATAAATTAATTCAGATGATCACATGTAGCTACGACTTGTATGATAAGGTGCCTTCAAGTGAAACTACTGCAATGTTCATTCTTCTGAAACCATCTACAGCCTATTTTAACATTACTATCGACTTTAGTTAAAGCTCAAACTTATTTTATGTCAGATATTGTAAGTTAAAGTTACTACACTAGAAAAGCTTGATCTGTGCAACATTTCAACTAAACATGACCTATTAGTTTGCATTGTGGGATTCTTATACTTTACCTTTGATCTTTTGTTGAATTATTTAATACTAAAGGACTTCATTAATATAACTGACATATTTTGACACATACAGTGCTTCCCTTATGGTTCAACCCTGTCCTCATGAGGTGAGACTGGTGACCAGGTCACAGGACACACCTGCTGCTAAAAGTGTATTGATCATTAAGGTTTTATATGTCCAGGTGTAAAACACCAGCCTCCTCAACTGTAACATCAGTTCTGACTCTGAGGTGAGCAGTCTCATCCCAACACCAGCTGCTGAATAGTTTGCTCTTATTTAGTCTGACAGGGAGGCTACAGCTCTTGCATTCAGTAGCCAAATCCATGCTCACACAGCGAGGACATCTCTTTGTGTGTTTGCCGTGCGTTGACTTGGCTCCTGACAGATCTTACATCATCTGGCCTCTGATTTCAAATTAATTCAGGCTCAGGGGTCCCTCAGAAACCCCTCCCTGCCCCACACAGCCACCTTTAGCTTCTGGAAGAGAAGGAGCCTCTACAGTGGGAGCCATCTAAAAGTTGGCTGGTGTCAATTTTCTGTTAGTCTAATCTGTTACAAAGGCACGACTTGCCTTCTGTTGTCAGGAGCAGCTAATCCTTATCTCTACAGATCCGGGATTTAACTTCTCATATCCCCTTGTCTCAGCAGGCTGTAAGCTAGCAGTTAACAAAGCGCCCATGTCAATTCCCTGAAGCTGCCCCTCCCTGCTGATGACTGCCAGACACACACACACACACACACACACACACACACACACACACACACACACACACACACACACACACATATATATAGATTACAAAAGCACAGACCCAAATGCTGCTACATAACACAAGCAGATCCATTAACAGAATCTATGCAGACACTGACACACACACACAGGAAGCCATAGAGCCCCCACAGTGTCACACACTCCCTGATGAGCACAAATGAAATCACTCTGTTGGTGATTAGCCTCCATGTGGATCTGAGAGAAAAGTTGAAATAAAACAGACACAGCAGAGCCTTTCTGTAAAAAAAGTTGTTTTGTAGTATAGGCAGACAGGAGAAATGACGGGTTATTTCAGTTGTATTTTGTATTTGTGTCACAGTGAGACTGTTTTAATCACTTGATCCAGTATTACTTGTTTTAATCCTTTTATTCAGTATTGCACGTTTATTTATAAGTGTGGGTTTTATCGTGTGTACATATATTTTCTATATTGGTATTAGTTAATTTGTGGGGTTGCATGTTGTAGAGCGTTTTATATTCCATATTTGGTTTTACTGAGTTGTGTGTAATTTGACTATGAAGTTGATGAACTGATGACAAACAGCTGTGATGAACTGCCTTACACACCCTGACAGCTCTGGATTGGCAGACAGACGCTGTGCTTTTAAGTTGATTATGGACAGGTGTGCGCACATGCGGTGAGGGAAGACAATCGGCCAGACACAGTTCCCGCGGAGCTAGAGACAAGTTTGGAGTGTAGGACGGAGCCTGCTCGATCGGTACGTTCTGCTGCAGGAAAACGGGCCGACAGAGCGAAGGTTCGGCCAGGACGAGGAACCAGACGAACCACTGCGGGACGAGCCAGACCGAAGTGAAAAGACTTGGTTCATTGCCCACTATACGATAAGTAAAGCGTCAGCGGCAGACGGTGATCCAGCGGAGCTGCAGGGCCGGAGCAGAGGAGCCGCCAGTGTTAACAAGTCGTAAAATATCAACAACCAAAAACATGTGAAACTCACATCAGACTAAACTAATTTGGCTGGCAAATGACACGTTGTGTTGCTTAAAGTTTGCACTACACATCTGTGGTTTGTTCAGAATGCTCTCTGAACCTTTGAGGGAGCTACTCTGAAACCGGGGGGGCTCACGAGCCACACGATGGAGACCCCTGGTCTAAAACGTACAGGTCAAACATTTTAGAACAGATTTTTATTTTATTTTATTTTTTATTGAAATCTCAAGTCAAGTTTAGTGAAAAACATTTTAATGGTACAAAGGTCAGTGGTTTTTTATAAAAAAAAAAAAAAAAAAAATTCAGGTCACCAAAAACTGAAACATCATGTAACTGTAATAGAGACTACACTCTCTGATCATCACCATGACAACACTGTACTGGAGGAAATAGGACTGTACACTGCTGTCAGAGTAGAGGGTGGAGGACCAGGAATGGAGGAGGACAGACTGGTTGATCAAGGCTTCATCCTACAGCAACATAATGAGCCACAACATTAGAAGACCAGAACCAGACTCAAGGATCCACATGGAGACCAGCACAGTTTCCAGACCTGAAGTTTCCAGTGTTTGGATCACTTCACCGAACAACATTTAATTTCCTCTGTAGAGAGATCATCCATGACAGAGTTCAGCTGCTGGATGAGTCAAAAATTAAAGGGGGGTGGCTCACCTAGTAGAGTGTGACATTTGCTGCATGTCATCCCCTCATTCTCTCTCCCTGTCTACCTCACACTGTACTATCAAAAAAAGACACAAACGCCCCCCCCCCCCCAAAAAAAAAAAAGTACATTTAAGGAACGCTCCAGACCTTTGGCTTCCATGGACTTCTTGATTTTAATTGAATAACCTACACTAAGACATGCAACTATGTACATTCAATTAACAGCTGGAAAAATAGATGTTCTAAAAACCTACCAGTAGTGCTATTATCTTACAATAATTGTATTCTTATTCATCTGAGTTGTAGGGTATTTGAGCTACTGTATAATTAGATACATTGAGATATGGGGCCCAAAATACAACCCTGTCTGGTTTTCAGTGTACTTATGTACAAACATGACACTGACACTGAAAACCAGACAGGTAACAGCTTCTGACTTGGTACTATGATTCCAATGTTGAATACACAAAGGTGAAAGGCATTACACACAGAGCTTCAGGATAAACTGATCTGTTTCACTTCTTAATTCCACCACATGTCAACAAACTAGTGACCTTCATCAAAGCATGGAGGTCAGTGGAGATCTTATCATCATCTGGCGGGTGATTGGCATTAGGGGTCACATGATCATTGACTTCCTAAGGTCCCATATACATCTTTTCTTGATAATATGACAATGACTAAGAGCAGGTGAATAGGTACATCCCATTTAAAAGGGAGTTTTTCTTTCATTCTGCTCATGTGGGAATGTTTGGTCTCTGTAAATGAAGAGCATGGTCTAGACTTAGGCCCTAGCTCTACTGTCCTGAGATAACCTCTGTCATGGTTCCAGCATGGACCAGGACCACCACAGCAACCACACTGTCGACTGTTAGACATGGAGGTGTGGGTGTGCTGATATGAGGCTGCATGAGGTGGAGGGGAGACATTTATTGATCCAATGATCCAACTCACTGCAAACATTTTTTAAAGAAAACAGTGAAAACTACGACATATGACAACTACAACAGATAAGGTTGTATTAAATGGACAGGATTGGTAATTAGTCGAGGGTCTACTCATGTTTTGTTGTATAGTGTAATTACTAAACAGATGTTGACAGCATTAACTTGATTGCTGCCAGAGAGGGTTTTCCTTCACCTCATGTCCATGTTAAGGTAATGACATCTTATTTCATCCTCTGTGTGTAATATATGTGTCTGTATACAGACATGTGCCTGAGCCCATCTCTGCCTGTGTGTCAGAGCTCCTATATATATAGTCAACCGTGCCTCAGGTCAGAGAGCCACACACTGACTGCAGCCTGTTTACCCAATGGCCTGTTCATTAGATTCATATACCTTCTACAGACCAATCTGCTGTTTGCCCTGAGAACCAGAGCTGTTGGCGTGTGTGATGGCAGTTTACATAATCAGCTTGTCACATCTCACTGGGTAACATTTATATTCCTTTCTAAATGATATGGAGGCATGGGCTTAGTAAAATAATAAGTAACTGTTACTGAGTGATGTAATATGTACATTAAACAAATAGAGTAGGACTAATGTCAACAAACCAGCATCCTGCATATGGAGTTGGTGTTGGACTGATGATGTTTGAGGCTCAAATCAAAGCTGGATAATGATCAGTGTTTTGGTTGTTTGAGGGAGCTGCTCACCACCTTGATGAATTTCACTGGTTTAACCTGTACATCTCAGGTCTGTGAAGGACAAGGATTCATTCATTCATTTATTGGCCTCTTGGGGGCAGTGCAGCGAGAACTT